ATATATATATATATATATATATATATATAGATTGAATTTCATTTTAATTTTTAGATGTTAATCAGTTTACTATTTTTTTAAATGCAAAATTTTCACTGGCATGAGTAAATTCCGGATTTACTAAATTCTATCAAGAGGTGAATTTAGTGGTTGTGTGTGCCGCACTTCGCCTTCGACGTCATCGCAGTCCGGAAATCGCCTACAATACTCACCCTCTCCTGGTTTCGCCCAAAACCACAGTCTTCGTGAACTAACCCTCGCGACACAGTTCGATCAAAGGGGAAGGCGAGGAGGAGATCACGGTTTATAGAGACAATCATCGATTTTGGAAGATAGCAAATTTGATGTTGTTGCTGCTAGTCTCTGATTGAAACAACCATTGGTTTCCAAAAAATGATCCCCATTGGATTTTCTATTGCATCAGATCTTGACGTAAATTTATATCCGGTGTCTAATTAAAGCCCAAATTTATCGTATAAATATATTATCCAGCCAATTTGTTAAATTCTGAAATAAATGCCAAACACTGGATTTAAGTGGATTTAAACGGAAATAATACCAAACATAAAATTTGGATTTAGGGTTAGTGGATTTACTAAATCCTGGTTTATTGGATTTAGTAAATCCTGCTTAAATTAAAGCTAAGGGGCAGCCAAACACCTCCCAAATAACCCTTAACTATTAGAGATGTAAGTACATAACAATTATATGGCATGCATGCAAATTTTCCAAATTTTATGATTACAATTTCACAAAAGTTTGCTTAACAAGAACTGAAATGTGGTGTAAGCTATATGTGGAAAAAAAAAATTGTATGTGTAATTTCACAAGTAATTGTCCCATTTTGCAGGCTATGTTTGAGAGGATGAAGTTGGCGAAAGAAGAAGGAAGAGGGAGGGATGTAGCAGATGTTGTTACAGAGCTGGCAACGCCCGGAGCGCAGCCGACGGCCGCCACCACACCACTTGCCAATGCTTCAACCTCGAAGAAGAGACTGAAGAGTCTCAACAACTACTCTTCTTTACTGAATGTGCTCACTCTAATGGGTTTAAGCTGGCATCTTGTCAGCCTTGCTTAGACTTTCGGTTCTTCTGATTCAGAGCGTTGTATATATATATATATATATATATATATATATATGACTGACCCCTGTTAAGTGTTAGCTTAAATTTGCAGTACATGAAGGAAAATGGGACTACATGTTGCGAATTTTGTTTGGTACTCTTCATCAATATTAAAGCCTTGTGTTAATTAACTGTAACATGGTGTTGGTTAGGGCTGTCAAATTGGCTCGTTATTCGTGAATAGCTCGTGTTCGGCTCGTTAGGATTAACGAACGAGCCGAACACGAACAAATTTTTAAACTTGAAATGTAAAAGAGCCGAACACGAACAAAAGTTTGTTCGCTCGTGTTCGGCTCGAATTGGCTCGAAAATAAATATATATAACAATATATTACATATATTATTTATATAATAATATATTATATATATTTATGTCTATGTTTAAATCATAACACATCGTGTGGTAATGTGATTAATGTCTTCTTTTGTATAGATTTGATCCAGGTTCGAATCCCACACTTTACATATATTTTTCTCAATTTTAGTTTAACGAGCCAATTTCGAGTCGAACACGAACACAAATATTTAAATCGAGCCGAACACGAACACACTGTTCACGAGCCAATTTCGAACACGAGCCGATTTCGAACACGAGCTATTTCGAACGAGCCGAGCCTCGGCTCGTTTACAAACCGTGTTGGTGTCCGTTATTTCAATTTTCAAGTGTTCAAAAAAAATAAAAAAGGAAGAATAAATTAAAATATTTGGTTTTAAAGCGATTCCCATAAATGCTTCTCACAAAACTTGTTCTACTCACCTAAGGATTTTTGGGTGGCAGAGTCAAGACCAACTTTATTAAATAAAAAGAGATAAAAAACTTGCAACACAATTAGAACATAAATCTCTAATATAAACACCATATCTAGACATCAATGACAAAAACAATGGGAAAAAAAAAAGCCAATAGATGAATAACAAACTTCAATGAATGTTCAAAACAAGATTTCGTCTAGATCTAATGAAGTTAATAGTGAATTTAAGGTCTCCGGAATAAACTTTAGAAAGAATGGTTAAGATCTAAAAGGATGAGTACATCATTGCAAATATCAAAAATAGCCACAAAAAGTAAAAGATCCAAAAAGTAGTAACCAACTAATTAATAAAATATCCAGAGAAACATAAATAAAAAGAAAAACAAAACATCACAAATTACTATAAGAAAATTTAAAATTAGAAAAAAATCGAGAAACAAAAGCAAATAAACCCCAAAACACCAAAAACAAAGACCCAATATAACCAAGACAATTATAAGTTATAAAAATTTCAAATAGAATTAAGATTCTATTTTAATTTTTGAATTCTTACTCTTATAAATTAACAAGTAATGGATATAATGAGTATGATTATCTAAAGAGGAACAAACATGTCTAAACATTTTTTAACTCATTTCCAATAAAAATACGAAATGCAGTAAGTTAGAAAGCCAAAACATAAAACATTTTATAAATTTTACAAGAAATATTATCAGAATGATTAAATACTTGAAAGATATTTGAATGGGCAATACAAAAATTATATTAGACACACATTAATTGATAAGAGAATGGAAAAGAGCATTCAAAGAAAAGATAACCATGAGTCTCTAAATCAAAACCACATAACACACAAATTTTATTAATATTCATATCTCTGAGAGCAAGAATATCACAAGTATTTAAATCTTCACGAACAACTAATTTTCATGAGTGAGTAACATATTTAATAAATTAACATTTAAACCAATTTAATCTAAACCAACCAACACACGACAAATGATCATAAAGAGAAATATAAACTATTTTATTAGAATAAGAATTAACTTGGTCCCAAAGAAAGTATCACCATTAATAAGTTGTTCATGCAATGATGGCTCCGTCTGAATATAAATTTTACAATTTTGGAGATCATTTAATCCCAAAAATATATTTGAAAGCTTCCAACTAGATTTCGGCGTTGAGCGGGTGACCTAATGGGCTCACCATAAGAATGAGCAGGCTTGACTATGAAAAAATAAAAAATTAGTAAGCTTAGCCTGACTAGAGCTTTCTTTGATTTAGTAAGCCTAAATAGGCCTGACCCGCACCAAGCCCGAGTAAAGTCTGATAGGTATAGTTCACGATTGTAAGCTTTCGAGGTTGTTAATTTATTTTTTTTTTAAATCACTTTTCGATAATTTGGCAGGAATTTGAAAAATAGATATAACATGTTAAACCACATAGTTTTCTTCGAAAAGTAGCCTTGCCCCAATGCTCTTGTGATATCATGGTTTACATTAACCTATTTAAAATCTTAGGGTCTTCTTTGGGAAGCATAAGTGCTCATGTATTTACAAAACATTGGAGTTCTCCATCTAGTCTGATCGGCACAAAGTAGGAACAATTACATATATAACACTAAAAAACATTGCTATATAGAAAACTAGCACCTACTTTCATCTTTTGTTCAAATTTTCACCAAAATATCGAAATGATAGTATATAACATATGAAAAATCACATTTCTTTTAAGGCTCGCAGACTGCCCGCAAGCCGACCCAACCATTCAGTGGGCGAGTTTAACTAAGAAATTATAAATTGAAATCGGGCTCAGGCCTAGTTTGAGTCCGCTTTGACTGGTTAAAGCCTGAATATAAGTTCGGTCCACGTTGAGCCCGACCCGCTTAATACTCAACTCTACTGTCAACTATTCTCTAAGTGCATGATGTGAGCCCGCTAAGCCTTAGGTCAGATTATTTTTGTAGTCATTTGGTTCATCTCCTTTAAACTCTTCCACTTGATCATTAATCAAAATACAGCCGTTTTCAAATTTGAAACTAGATCAAAATGTGTGTTGAAATTTATGTGAATCAATATAATCTTTTAAGAACATATAAATGATTATCTTATTTTGTTTTATATTAAATAAGCCAATTTAAATTTGAAGAATTAAATCTTTATAATTAAACTTAAATAATGTAATTTAAGTTGAAATCAACCCATGTTGTTAGCCAACCCAATTTTGAAACCAAACAGTGCCGTGAAAACCGGAATTTGCACGCTACAATCCAAGCCTGTATCTGCCACAATCTCAACTCGCTTTGGCAGAGCAATGCTCGTGTGGAGCGGAAAGGCGAGGCATACTCAGTTCGCTTCCATCAAAAACCCTTACTTTTAGCAAAATCCACATCCGTTTGCCGGGCGGCGATCCATCAAAGTGGAAAGCGGCAGACCGCGAACTTGCAGAAACGAGTAAGCTCCCTTGATCCAATCCAGTTACCGAAAGAAGGGAATACAGAGGGAGGGAAATGCAGATGGTCGCGCTGCATCCTTCTTGTTGTGGGGGAACGAATCCCATGGAGACGGCGTCTTCCTCCACAATCTCTCGCCATCTTTTTTTTTCATTCAAGGTTTTATAATTTTATTTTCGTTTTTCCATTTCGTTATTGTATAAGGAGGTATTTAGAGGAATTATTTGATTGATTTTTGCAAGGCTTACGTTTTAGGGCCACAAGCAATCGGGACTTCGTGGAGCCAGGATTTATAGAAGCACAGGCAGATTGGCCATGTCTTGGATGTCTTCAACTTCGGTTCATCGGATGGTCTCAAGATCCCAGCGGCATCGAGGTAAGTCTCTGGTTTAAACATAAAAATAGAACTTGTCTTCCTAAAAATTTTGTTTTGGGGTTGGTCCGTTGGTTGGTATGTATGATCGACTTATCTGATTGTTTGTGAGTATACTACTGATTAAGGTGGTGGGGAAGGGCGTTATAGGGGGGGGTATACGCTTATGCTTTTAGGTTTGTGATTCTGCTTGCTCATATGTTTGGCATCTTAGCATCATACTGTTATACTTGGGATAAAATAGAGTCTGTTAAATTTGTTTTTTTGCGCCAATTATTGGAACCTTTCCCTTCTAATTTATTTGGTACAAAGTAGAAGAAAGAGGCCTATTTGATTAATCAATGGAAGGCCAGCCTCTAAAAGGCTTGAGATAGCCCAAGAGAAATAGCTTTCTAATATAAGAAAGCCAGCATTCTTCTTATTTTCATTGCTCCTTATATACCCACCCTTGACCAGCAATATTTAGAAAAGATACAAACCTTTTAAGTTTGGGCGCTCTCTGCATGGTTCCGGTTGAGGAAGATCAAATAGGTGCTTTCAATAATTCTAAAAGCATTCAAAAGGAAAAATAAAGTTTCTTTCCATCTTCAGTATGCATTGCCCTATGTTTATTCAAATAGCTAATGTGTTAGTCTTTTCTTTAGTGTTTTGTCTAGTTTTCTTAGATACACCAATTAATTTGATTAGAAATTGACTTGGCTTGTTGCATCATGACAATTTACTATACACTTTACCATATTCATTAGCAATCAATTGATTTTTAGCATCAAAGGTAGGTGTGTAGGCACTTTATATTAAGCCTTGGATTAAAATTTTCAAACAGTAAAGTCAATATTTAGATTGAAACTTCACTCAAGATGGGCATGATATACTTCAGGCGATGCCAAATATCTTGAAAACATTTGGTAAGTATACAACTAGAATTTATTGTGGCTATATGTAAATAAATCATATTGATAGCTTGAATGTAAAACTTTATACGTTATAAAGGAGTTTGAGCTTATTTGTTGTGTTTTTACTTAAAGCTAGTGCCATAAGTTTTGATAGCTTTTTCAACTCGGTTTATAGTCCATTAGAACTAAACTTTATACTCCAAAAGTAAGAAATGCATTGAATAAGATAGTCAAAGAATTGAAACAGCTATTAAAATTGACAAATATAAAATATAAAGTAAATGATAATGACATGTCATTTCTTCTTAAGGAAATAGGGCTAGTCATCTTTTCATGTTATTTGGCTTATCCTATACAAAATTGGAACAGACTAGTCATGCATTTTGCATTTATCTAACATGTAGATGAAAATACAATTTGACATGCTTTTTTCTCTAGATTTTTTATCTTTCCATTGTTATACATGTTGACTATTTAAATTTATCCATCAATTAGGGTCGAGTTTAAATTGGTCTGAAGTAGATGTTACTAACATTTATGAGAATTTTTTTTTCTCTTTCGTATTGTAGGTTTATCCTCTTTATAGTCTTTCTTTAGCTGACTAAACCCAAAACCTTACTATTCTAATGGGTTAGTTCTTGAACTCACTTACCATCTTTCTAGCCTTGCTTGAGTTGACCAAATCCAAAATCTTACTATTATGGCGGACTCGTTTTTGAAATCACGATATACTCTCAAAATTTTTTCTAGGTGTGTATGTACTTATATAGATCATTGTTTAAAATTGCGAAATTTTAGGCTCTCCTTGAAGCCCGCCTTAGTGCAATTCTGAAGAAAAATACCTCGAGGAGTACTCGATTAGCTTGGGTGAGACTTACGTTTACATTAGTTGAGGTGCATCTCAAGGCGCGCCTTGCATCAATTCAGTTGTGGTTCGAATACAAACCAAAGTTGCAATTTCATGCGCAAGAGCTCCCCTCTCCCTAGGCAGGCATCCCAGCATCGCACCTTGCTGCTTTTGCCATTGGTGCCGCCACCATCACGTGTTGCTTTCGTCGCCAGAGCCATTGTTGCCGTTGCTACTTGCTGCTTTTGTTACATTACCTGCTGTTATTGTTGCAACCAATGCCGCCTGCTGCTCATGTTACTATTTTCGTCGCCACATGCTGCTCTGGATTTTGAGTATTTATTTTATTCTTATTTAAATTTGTGGATGTTATTATGTTTGTTGAACAATAGAAGTGAGGAAAGTCTAATATGTTAAACTCATCTTATGTCTTACTTTGATATTTTATATTATATTCATTTCATTTTTTATGTTTGTTTGATCACTTCATTAGTTGTTTTTTGCATTATATTTTTATTTTGTGCAAGTTTTTACATGATAGTTTGCGGCTTATACAATTTTGTTACTTTTTACTATGCTAGAAGATTAATTTCTTTCTTTTATATATTTATAAGTTATGATACTAATATTTTTTTTACCCATTTATTTTGACTTATGCAATTTTCAAACAGTGAGGCTTACACCTCGCCTCGCGATCAAAAGACGCCTCAATATTATTAAGAAGGTTAAGGGCTTTTTTGAGATCAACTTTGTATTTGATTTTGTTTTTATTTTTTCTTTTGGTTTTAAAAATTTATTTGTTTAGTATGTTTTTAATGTGTTTTTATTTTTTTGTTTGTAAAAAATAAATTATCATGTTTGTCTGAACACTCAAAATAACTTTTGAGTGTTTAAGTATTTTTTAAAAAAATCATATTTTAATTAAAAAATTAAACATGTTTTGTTTTAAATCAAAACTTTAACAAAAAAAAAAAAGCAAAAAATAGAAAAAAAAATAAGTGATCACAAACGCCCCCTAAACTTCCAAAGTTATTGAAAATTCTGGGCTCTTAGTCTACCTACAAGTTTAAACATCATAGTAGCATTATGTGTGAAATCTCTCTCTCGTGACTCCAAAGTCTTTTTCCCTTGCTTTCTTTGTCCTTAAAGTTGAAGAATCCTTCATGTAGAAATATTATTTGAGCATTGTACTTCCAATGGATGATAAAGCTGAATTCTAAAAGTCAAGGCTTGTGTTGAAAAAGGCAACGGACCTTTATATTTTTTTTTTATTCATTGTTTATTAGTTTTTTTTTGTTAATCTTTGCATTTTATTTTGTTCTCCCAATAATTGGGAAAAAACCAAGATGCTTCAAATAATTAGGAATGACCTGTTGGTTAGATGGGTTTTGTCCTGTTTGCTCGAGACGCAGATGCTGAGTCACTTTTGATTTTTTTTTTTATCTTTTACCTTTTTACTTTTTTTGCATTGTATAATTATTTTTTATTTATGTAATTAGTTAAGAGTGTTTTTTTTCCAACTTGTTGCTTTATGTTAACACTGATAAGCTTGATTTGTTGGAGTTTGAATCTGTTGTCAACTTTCAGGTGACATGGTCTCCAAAGATAAATATGTAGCTCCCACATGTGAATGCTGAGCTATTACCTAAATTATTTAATTTATTATATTGGTTGTTGAAGAGCAGTTGATGATGATGCTTTGATGATAAGTTGACAAAGCAAAGAAGAAATTATAAAATGGTTCAAATTAATTTAGTAGTTGATATTGTCAAGTTGGTATTTGTCATAATGCATGGTCAAATAGGAAGATGAGTTGGGTTTGTTTGAAGCGGTTGTAACTGTTTGTAAATGTAGTTGCAGACTAGTTATTGGCAAAGTTTATAAAGGCAAAATTAGAAACCAAGAATTTTTTTCCTCAGTAAGGCACAAGCCTCAAGACGGGTTGAGTCGTAAGCCTCGACAACAACAACAAACCTTTTGTTGATTAAGTGGGGTCAACTACGTGAATCCTTCTCCATTGTGTCATATTAAGTGCCATATTTTCATTTAATTCGAAAAAAATTAGAGCTTTTTTTATACGACATATCCAAGTCTTTTTAGGTCTATCTCTATCTGTTTTAACATAAGTTGAATCTAAAACATCTACTTTCCTAACTGGATCATCAGATGGTCAGGTTTAATGTGAACAAACCATCTAATATATTCTCTTTAATCTTGTTTGCCACTGGAGCTACGCCAACCCTTTCACGGATATATTTGTTTCACATTTATTTGTTTCACATTTTTTTGTTTCACATTTTGTCTCTAAGTGTAAAGCCACTCATCCACCTAAGCATTCTCATCTCAGTAACACTTAACTTTGTTTTATGCTTCTCTTTTATCGGTTAATATTCTTTGATATAAAACATTGTAGGTCTCACCACCATCTTATAAAATTTTCCTTTTAAGTCTAAGCGGTATTTTTCTATCACACAATAGACCCGATGCATTCGTTCATTTCAACTATCCAACTTGAATTCTACTAATAATATCACCATCCATATCATCATGACTTTGAACAATAGACCCACATTATCTACAACGTCACTTCTTTTAATAGATTGATCACCTATTGTTAATACCCCTCCACTAGATCTACTACTACTAAAATTACATTCAATGTATTTTTTTTTTAGATCCACTCAAAAGAAAACCTTTAGCTTATAAACTTAACCTCTATAATTTAAGTTTTTTCTTAAATCTTTCTTCAGTCTTATCCACAATAAGGATATCACTTTCGAAAAGCATACACCAAGGTACATCCTTTTGTAAATATCCAGAAAGTGCATCCATAACTAAAGTAAAAAGATATGAGATTAAAGCTGATACCTGATGTAATATAACTTAAATAGGAAAATACTTGGTCAATCTTCCTGTTCGAACACAAGTAGCAACTCTATTATGCATATCTTTAACGACTTCAATATAAGTCATATCAACACTTTTTTCTTTTAGCACTCTCCAAAAAACTTCTCTCGAAATCTTATCATATGTTTTTTCTAAATCAACAAAAATCATATGTAGATCTTTTTTACTCTCTCTTTACTTCTCCATCAAACCTCTCAATAAATGAATAACTTTTATAGTAAATTTTCCTGACATAAATTTAAATTAATTTTGAGAAATCTTTGTATCATTTCTTAACCTATGTTTAACTACTCTCTCATAATTTTAATGTATGACACATTAAATTAATTCTTCGATAATTTGCATACTCTTTTGCA